ACTCAAATATTGAATGTGTTGTACATCACAGAAAACCTCTTCTCTCCCAAGTGAAGAGCAGCTCCATATTGACTGATCAGTTTGAATGTTTTCCTTGAAATAATGCCAGTGGCACTTGCATATTTTTGTTTCATTTATGTCGAAAGATTCGTCTCTGCTCCCTAAATTGTCTTCTCAAATTACTTCAATACCACGCAAGATATTAAACACTCTATAAAGCATTCTGGGCACTCTTGCAGAAAAGACTCAATCAGAGTGAGAAACAATATAACATTTATCACATAAGTCTGTTATTTGAATACAGACTTCATTTAGAGTTACCCATTGAGAACTTTAATTTATCTTTTATATGACATGCATTTATTTATAACTCTGGATTTACGCAGCTCATGCATTTGTGCATTTTTGTCATTTCTGCTAATAGCTTTTTCACAAACCATACTGCAGTTGGTGCGGTTGCCCAGGCTTGGTGGAACATTCAGATTTTGGGAGAGAACAGAGATTCAGAATCAGTGTCAATGGACTTGCCATACAATAGAGGCTTGTAAATTGCAATAGCCACAATATTCCTACCTTTGATATTGCTAATATTCATTTCCACAGGCTGCTTTTCTCCTCTGTGTCACCTATTTATTTTGTGCAGTTTATACAGCTTGTGTTTCCGAAGTCTTTGCCCAATTTGGTCCCTGGTGTATTGTCTCATTTCATTCCTTGTATCTCTATCTCACTCAGACCATTTAAACCACCTAACTTTTTTTTCACCCCAATAAAAATAGCCTTTCTCCATTCCATTCCTCTACCCACCCCTTTTTTTTTCTTTAATTTTAGCAAATAACATAAGAATACTCAATGTTAAAATGAAATTTCAAATAATGACAATCTGCACAACTTCAGATACAATGTAGTTTGTTCATTGAAGAAAATAAAGAGTACTGAATTTTTATATGGAGATTCAGCATCTACTTTAGTATTTTGATACTACTGGACAGTCCAATCCACAGAATTCCAGGAAATACTTTTAAGAGATGTTGAATCAAACATATTGTAAGCTGGTGTAAAAGGTGATGAGAAATCAACCACTAGCTCTCAATGCTTCCTTGTCTTTCAAGCTATTTAGTGTAACATTGATATAAAAAATAATCACACTACATCCTGGTAATGGATTGGTCATTTATTTTGATGTATCTGGAATAATTTTATTTCATACGATAGACAGCAGGACTATGGATAAGCGTAATATCTCTAGTGTAAAAATCAGTGGTTTCCGCTATGAAAAATAAAATGTATCATTTTCCTTTATTTATTTAGGCAGAAAGAGAGAGTAACCTTTGAGAATGGAAAGGAATGGATTTTTTTAAGATTTTTTTGAATACTTGATTTAAGACACCAGGGATTGGAGGGAAAAAGCCCCAAACCACAACACTAATGAACAGAGAATAAATGAGGAAAAAATAACTGTATGGTAAAAAATATTCAATTCTGATGTTGAAGTAGAGAAAGAATAAGGAATGAGGAATACCTAGCTTTTTCCCTCACACTCAGACAAACTGCAACAATGAGATCCAGCACAAAAACATTATTGAGAAAACACCATCTTGAATTCAAAGGCTAGCTTAAAAAATAAATAAAGTAGTGGTGAACTGCAAGAAGTGGTGAAATAGTTCTCCTTTGTAGAAGTAGTATTCAATACTAGATATTTAATAAAGCATAAACAATTTCTTAACTGTACGGTAAAGAATCTTTAGTGTATTTCTTAAATAATTTCTTATTTTAGTTTCTGTAAAGTAATTTTGTATTTCTTTATGAATAGAATTAGATATAGAGGTTTATCTCACCCGGAGGATGTTACAATCATGGCACACAATTTTTTTGCTTATGGATCAGAGTTAAAAGACCTCGCTGCATGTTCTGCTTACAAGACTCGCTCTCTGCATGACTTTGGGTAGAGCATTTTACTTTTCTATATGCATCACCTTAAATAAAAAAATAAATAAATAACTTAGAGTACTGAAGAACCAGTAAATAATTACTAAATTAAAAATAGTATTTTAAATGCAAAGTATTTGAGATGCCAGTATAAAAAGATGAATACAAAACTCCTAGCTGGGCAACTCATACTTCTGATGACTGAAATCTTTCTGCAGCGTCTGGTTTTTACATTTTAGGAAGTCTGTCTCTTCTCATATGCTAGAAGCAATGAATATATTTCCTGCCTTGGGAACTCGTGGCAAAGCAACTTTCAAGCTAGTCAATGCCTGGTCACATTTAATGTGCTGAATTAATTTATGGTCATAAACTGACAGGTGGTTTTGAGCAGTTCATGAGGGGATTTAGCTGGTGTGTGCAAAATGCAGCCTACGGGTCAATGATACTTGGATACACAGCAATTAATAACCAACAGCCAATACTGTTACCCTTGTTTATGTCATTATTTTTTTCCAATTGATTTCTGATTTAGTTGATTAAAATACTTCCAAGTTGAAGACATATTTGCCGTACAGTAAAGGAATAATAAAATTTGCCTTATACAATGAGACAGATGTTTTGATCCTTGTTAGGAAACACTATCAGAAAAAATGCGTAATTACTAGGGGGTCATCCCCACTCACCATAACCCAATGTCATAGTTTTTGAACGTGTTTTTAGATTTTCTGTTATTTTGTAGAAATATACTACCATAATACGTGGCTTGTTCCTGTTCCCACTAAAGTCAATAGCAAAATTGCCAGTGACTGGTGGAAAAAGCCTATGAAAAATGTTTCTAAAACATCGATTTCATTTAGGTAAATTCAATTTGTTGGCCAGAATATTAAATTTCTAATTGTTTGCTTCAATCAGAGCTACACAGAGACTGGTGTCTCTTTATGACAGTTTCACTAGATTTATTCCTACTAACATGCTCTAAAAATATCTATTGCCCAAATTTTAAGCCAAAATTGGAAGATAGACTCTCAGCAATATAGAAGAAAATCCAAATTCAATGTGTAAGAACCATAAAGAGCTCTATGCTAGCTCTTGCTAATTTGCATTATATATTTTTTTTGTTGTGCTTACAGGGCTTCCTGAGAGCCTTCAAAACACACTTGAAGTGCTAGATCACTGTCCTTCTGTGCCATTACTAAATATAAATTTTTCCACATGAGTCAACTGAGTGAAGATCAGATGTTTTAGAAAGGGTTTGGTTTTCATTTGCCTAAAGGCTATTGTGCTAAAAAGAATTCAGTGACCTCATAGCTGAAAGTGACTGCAGATTTGCTATTAAATAACTCGGCTGCGCTGCACAGCTTTGCGAACTATGATTATAATATTTTTGTTCTAATTTTTGTAATTTCATTTTTTATTTATATGCAAATTGCATAGACCTTAAGATATCCCTGTTGGTACACCTCTCTGACCGAAATTTCCCTGATGCATTTGTAGGATATGAAAATGCTGTTAAACTGGAACAATAGTCCCTAATATGCTAGGATAGAAGGAAAAGCCTTTCTTTGGGTGCAGCTTCATTATGTTTTCTTTCTGAAGTTCTGAAACAAATGTGTTGTGCAGCTGTTGGAACAGCCATGTCCTCTCAGTCATGTCACTGGATGCTGTGTGAACGCTGTTGATCTTATGTGGGATCTGTAATTCTATGGGAGGCTCCTTGATGGAGATAGGAGCTCGTTCATAAGATATGGATGAGATTCATACTTGCAAAAGTACTGACAACTAATGGAGTGAAGTCATTCCACTTTCCTATAGTAAAGCAAGCAGAAAAGGTCTCTGTTACTTATGAGTCATCACAGATCTGGGCTGCAGCATGGGTGTTTCTTAGGGTACAGTATTCAAGAAGCTGGTGGCTGTAAGGCACACTGAAATTAATTATTTAGCTGCATCTGAGTGTCTGGGTTCAGGATGATATTCTTGCATGGATATCTTTTTGTGACTGGAGAAGCTAGAGCTCTGCCTCCAATATGTCATAATTTCTTGAGCTTTGTAGTAATGTCTGAGTGTTAGTTAATGTATTTTTGTCCTGATTTCATTTAACACGGTGCACCATCTACAGCTAGCAGTGCTGACCCGTGATGTGCTGTCATCACAGTGTATGTGGAAGGGCACTATTTCAAAATTAGAGAGAGGGCAGTGGAGAAGATATGTTGTCTGCCTGAAGCTAGTATCTCATTCAGGGAACAATTTTATCCAAGGTTAATGGAAGATCAGACACAGTATCAGCCAGCTGAAGCAAGATTATAGTGATCTGTTAAACATGGAGAAGTGTAACTCCATTCCTGAACTGTCATGATGTACTTGCAGCATTTTGATAGAGCTTGACAGATAGTGTTTGACTATTTATTGACACAAATATCCTCTGTGCTGCTCTAAGTGTCTATTTTTCAGTTCTTGTGTGAAAATTGTTTGGGTGAAGTGAGAGAAAACATCTAATAGTCGTAAAGAGCTAATGTACTAGCAGTGGCTGAGTAAACAGTAAAGGGATGCCCCCTGCAGCTGGGGTGGGTTAGCCCTGGCTGGCAGCCAAATGCCCACCCAGGCATTCACTCCCCCCTGCCTCAGTAAAGCTTTTGGTACTGCAAGTGATGCCACCATCTTTGAGAGAGGGACCTGCTTTTAAGAAACAGCTTGCAGAGTCCTTAATCTAACTGCAGGATTTTCAAGAGGTACTGATTATAAAGGGGTGTTCAGTGGTATCTGTGCAGTACGGGAAGTCCTGAGGAGATATAATGTTGTGATATTATGCAGGATGGAATAATGCCCCCTTCTCAAGAATTTGTAATCTTTGCCTGAGAATTGTTGTAAATTACTAAAGCCTTTCCTTAGGTATTTTTTTTTAAAATATAATATCATTGTCATCTTCTGTGAGAAGGCAGAACAATGCATTTGTGTTTGGGAAGGGGAGTAAAAGACTGGGAGACCTTTGGATTAAATAGTCAATAGATTTCTTTGCTGCAGAACTACTTTGGAGCGAGGGTGTATTCATTCACTCTTTCACATTTTTCTTTGTTAAGGTGCAGTTCAGCTGAGACTGAATTCCTCTTTGGCTGTCCATAAACTGTGAAACAGAAGGATGCAGAAGACTATTCATTGTCTTTTTGTACATGAGTGATAAGAGCACAAGATCATTAATACAAGTTTGTTGCAAAGATGAGTTCAGAGGAGAAGAGTATATCTCCAGCTCACAAAACATCCACTCCATCACACAGAAGTGCCTCCTCGTCATCATCGTCTCAGAGAGACAGGAGGCAGGTAAGGAAAAGCTCTAAATGTTTACACCATCTGGTGGGATGGTAGTTTTATTCCTGTAATGTGGCCTTTAGTTCTTACTAGCTCTTGATTTGCTTGCTTATAGCACTGGATGATATCGCCATAGCCAAGAACTGTTGATTTTTTAGTTGATTTTTTTTCCATTTTCTGAAGTGGCTTGAAAAACATTCAGAAGCAACATGGGCACTATGTGCAGCATTGGAGCAAGAAGTATGTAGTCACATGGATAAGTAGGAAACATGCTCTGAAATCTTTTGGGAAGTGGTTTCTTTGATGGCATGAACCTACAGTTGCTTAAAATTGTTTAGTGTCCTCTGTGGATATCTCTTGTTGTAAATATAATTACAGAGATGCATTATCATTTTAGAAGGTTATAATTCAGTTTAAATACCATACTGTTCATCTTTTTGTAAAACCTAACATTTTAAATATTATTTGTTTTACTACAAATTTACACTGATTGTACCACATATTAGAGTACTAGTCCAGTTATGTTGGACTTAAGTTTTTAAGAGACCCTTGTCTATGTGGATGTAATATGTCTTTTCTCCATGATCCCTTTGAGATGAAGACTGTATTATTTCCCCTCAAAACAACTTGAGCATTTCTGTGGGTTTTTTGAGAGATGGGTGTAGTCTGGGCACAGCACCAGTGGGAGCTGCCCGCTAGAAAATGTCCGAGCTACCCACTAGATTTCAGATTGGTTATTACATCTGCATTTACAAACGCAAAGATTTATACTGAATATTTGGTTAGAACAGATACATATTTTAAAACTGATCTGTGGAAAAGAGGCAGGAAAAGAGCTTATATAATCATTAGCTGTGGTACATATTTACTTGAATGGCTGTGGCTTAGGAATATTTTCGCAGCTACTTGTATGCCAGTTGGGACACTATTTTTCAGCTGCTGCTGGGGAAGTTTTTGCCCTTACCTGTCTTATGAAAATTTTGAAAATTGAGAATTCTGATGAAAACTGTAACATTTACATCTTTGAATGAAAATAGTCTTGCCATAAGGTATGTTTAAAATATTAAATCAGGAGAAGAATTCTGATGTATGTTCAGTAACGGGCAGGAAATATGTCTGGAATTTTTTTAATAATTTCCATTGCTTGAGTAAATCCGAAAATTATTTTCTCACAGATGATAAATATTTTCCCTGTCATAGTGTACAGGATTTGGGATAGCTGTACTCAATTAATTAAGTCCTACTTAGCATATAATCTCCTAATTTTTCATTAGTTCCATCTGGAGCAAAGATTTCGACATCTTTTGTTTGAAGCATCGACGTATTTTATCTCCCACATTTAAACCCTAAGAAGGTGAATGCAAGACCTCGTAGGAGCTGTTGGTCTCAGCTAAGAGCATATCCTCTGAGTTTTCTTTGTAATTAGGTAGTTGGATACAATCATGCAAGTGAGAATGAAAAAAAAAATACCTCTTGGGAATACATTTTACCATAAATCTAATGGCTACCATATCTGTTACCATAGCAACAGTATAGAGCAAGGTGTACCTGTCAGCATAACGAAATGGATGCTTAACTTAGGGTCCATATTTGGCCATGGAAACATGAAGCATGATTTTAAAATAATGCTGTAAAGGTTGATGATGTGATGCATCCAGAATATCCAATAAAGTGTGATGATGCTTAACAGTTATATTTAGGCATGTAAATGTAGACTGGAAAGGCTACTGCTAGGCATTCATTTTTTGCCTTCGTGCTTTCGGTGTTAAAGGCAGACAAATATCCAAGAGAATGAATGGATGAACAATTTCTTCTGCAGAAAGACACTGAGCTAGAGCAATGCAGCGTGAAGTGCAGTGGTACTATATCCAGGAAAAGAAACATACAGGTGTTTCCTCTGTGCATGTAAACACAGTAAATCAGCCAGCTTCATCCTACCAGCTACTATAACCACTGTATTTCTACTATATTTCTAATTTCTTTCCTTGCTTGTGGTATTATTTGTATATTTTTTGGTTTTCATAGGTTTTTCCTCAAGCACAATGACAGCTCAGGGGTAGGGGTTTTTGGTTCAGGAGATGTTGGGTTTTACTTTGGAAAGGCTTTAAAATTCTGTCTTGCTGCCTCCTTGTACTCTTCAGAGCAGGTAGGAGAAAAGCACCCTTCCTGAATTGGTAATATATATGAATGTGGAAAGTGATGTGACTTGATGAAGTGTCAATTTAGTTTTCATTGTCAAATGTGAGGATAACACTTGATCTTTCTAGATGGTTAATGACTGAAATCTTCTCATCATATAATTCTTGTCAAAGTCATACCAGCAATTATGGAACAGTTTCCCGTTAAATAATGGTGCAGGAGGCTGAGTGAGTGTGAACATGATTATGATAAATCATTTCAGGGAGAGTGGAAAATGTTGTGCTGTATATAATGCTGGCATTTTAATGTAGCTTTCTTATTTGTGCAATATATATCACCTAAGAGAATTAGAAGTCAGCAAAAGCTTTGACATTGCCAATTTGCAGGCTCCATGACTAAGTTAATAGATAAATGAACAGATTAATGAAGCCAGCAATAACAAAAAAAAATGATTTCAGATTTTTGTCATTAATTTTCAATAAAATCATATTTGATTTGGACTGCTGGATAGAAGAAGGCCCAGAACCAACCTGTTTTGTTTAACCTCCGAGTTGAACAGGGTGGCAAGTTAGTTGTGGTGTCCTTGGTAAGGAATACTTCAGAAGGGAACAGCAGCAGTTTTTCCTACTGTGGAACTGTTGCAGTGTGAACACACTTTGGCTTCCACTGTCAGTAAGAGTCTTCATACACAGGTTAGCATAAAAACTGCAATTCTGATAGCCTTTTTTGTGGGCTGTGCTGACAAGGTAGATTCTTGTTTTTTATCCCTTATGAAACTCTGAAGAGGCTACCTGTGTACTGTTGCACAACAAAATGTAGGAAAACTAACAGCTTTTAGAAGGTACATCTGAATATGATAAAATCATATGTTGTATATTCAGTTGTATGGGTGTAAGTTCTTTATGAATATTACATATTTTATTTATTGACTAAGTATGCAAGTCATAAGGCAGACTGTAATATTATATATATATATTATATATCCTCTGCAATGCGTGGGTAGGAATATTGTGCTGAGAAGGCAAAAAGAAGTGGATACATCATAGGTTTAATAATGTAAAGTTTGAAAAATTGGAGCCTGACCCCAGGCTATTAAACAGATTGAGTGATACAGAAGGACAGTAATAATATTGAAACTGTGAACAAAGGAGAGATTTTGACTTTTCTGGCCATCATCTGAAGAGTTGCTAATACCCTGATCGGAAGTGGATTTAGCAATGTCTTCTGTTTTAAATGTGAGGATTTTTCTTCCAATATCTTATTTTCTTTTTGCGATCTCTTTTTGTTTCCCTTTGTCAGTTTGCTTTTTCTACAAATCCTTCTTTTCCCACACAGCAATCACAAAAGAAAAAAAGCATTTAGTCCTATTGCATTTAGCCTTATTGCATTTAGCCTTATATTTAACCTTTCTGCTAGGAGAGCTTTCATATTTCAAATGACTATTGTCTTTCAAGCGTATGTAAAGAGTGAAAGATAGGGGCTTTGAAGGAAGAAGAAAAAATGATTTTCCAGAGCAGCAATCTGCTTTTCAGATTTTAACATGACTTGTTGGTTTTTTGGTTGTTTTTTTTTTCTCCTTTCTGTAAGAGCAGCATTGACTAATAGAAGGGGTGTACTCAAGGGTTGCACAGAGGGCTTAGTTTGGGCTGAAGATGTTTTACCTGGCCATGAAATTTAGAAGCAGAATGCGATTCCAAGGCTCTGGTCTTGCCTAAAGGTCTGTGTTGGAAAATGCCTATTTAGCTTTTTACAACCATTGCATTTCAACTGTCAGTCTCCTGAAAGCAGTATTTCCTAAGGTGGGTATCACCATTTTGTAGATATAAAGGCTTTAATGATGATGGAAGGATTGAGTCATCTGTCTGCAGCAATCTTAACCAAACCTTAGTTTATAGAGTAACTGGAAGACTGTAAAAAAAGATATTGGAGTAGGTGAATCTGGAGGTGAAATGTATGAACCTGAAAAAAAAGGACCAATAATCATTATTTGGATATAGGGATGCAGTAGCAATCTAGGCCTCACAGTGCTGTGTACTGTATTAAGCATATAAGAAAAGGCAGTAACTAGCTTAAAGTGCTGATTAAATGAGACAGACATATATTGGAAGCAGAAAAAGAGAGGTGACTTGTGTGTTGTCTCTTTCATCAATTAACGATACAGCATAATAGGGAATTATGATGGGTTCTATGTCAATTCTAGAGTTTCATGCTTTAGGCTGACATTAAGAAGCATAAAAGTAGAATTATAAAGGCTATTCTTGGCTAAGAAGATCACCATCAAGTTTTTCGCAAGAGACAGAGCTACAAATTTTTCACAGATGTACTGCAGGGACCACCAGGTTCTGTGAAGCTGAGTTCACATGGGCAATCTGTGTGCCACAGCAAGTGGGTGGCACAGGAGGAAGAAGTAACAAGTACCAGGAGTGCAGTGCTCAGCTTTGTAGGAAGTAAAATCTACTTGATTTGGAGAACGAGAATTGTGGTCAGGAAATACATAGGTGAAAAAACTGAGTAGGGGAGAGAGAACTAGGTAGGCCAAATGCTTTGTGAGGTTGTAAGGATATGAAACTAAGAAGGAAGGACTGTTTTTAGGGAGAACAACAATTGTCTGAAAAAGTAAAGCAGAGTAAGAGAGAAACCAAGCACAGAAAAATTTGTGGCTTTGGTTTTTCCTTTTGTGACCAGAAGTATCTGGGAGAGCTGGTTGATGTGTAGAAGGAAAAAAAAATCTATGAGAAAACTTTTTTATTCTAACCGCTTGATGTTTAAGGTCTTGTGTGATTATTCTAAGGAATAGCAGGTTCACTTTTTATCTGTCCTGTAGGAAAAGGGGTCCAGTTTTTGAGACTGAAGCTACTTAATGGAAAATGGGG